CCCCAAAACCCCAAAACCCCAAAACCCCAAAACCCCATAGAAATTAATTTAGTATATAATCTATTAAATTGAAAAACTAACATAAAGAAATTAAAGAATCTATAATAGTATTCTCAAATTTCTGAATTCATCTAAGGATGCATTGATAAAAGTTTCTAAAATCTAGATAACAATTCGTTCTGATCCTTCAATCTTTCTTCTTTAGATTTTTCCAAATACACAGCTGGAATTTTAACTTATTCTTTTGACTCCTAATTTCTAAGCTATCTTGCTTAATCTTAGTCTCTAGTGGTATAATTAGCATTTTTCTTCATTTAGCTATCATCTTAGTATCTCTATTTAGTCTCTAGCAATGTCATTTTATTGTTTCTCTTAGCCATTATTGCTGTTGCTAATTTATTGCTTAAATCACTATCTACTCGAGTATCATTTACTGGTCTTCTAGCTTAATGAGATTTCTCAACATCTTCAATAAATTTTATTCTATCAACGAATGGATCACTTTATTTTTTCTGCTTTTCATCTTCTTCTTTTAGTTTTATTTTCTGGCCTAAGGGATCTTCAAGAAAATTTTGATATCTATTACCCTCATTTGTTGGCTATCTCTTATCAGCAATATCGTTCATCTGTCCCTCTTCTTCCTTAATTTAATTCAGGGAGTTTAGAATCTATCTGCCTTCTTTATAATACTCAGATTTAGGATCTAGACCAGAGAACATCTAGCTTCTTTGGTATTCGTTAATCTTCAAAGAGAGAGGAAGATCATTCACACTTTGTTTTGCCATACTCATCTAATCAAAAGTGTTGGTTACATTAATTAGAGCCTCCTTGAAAATCCCTTTGCAAAATACCCTGTTGAATTCATCAAAATTAATATTATCTTTTCTTGTAGCCATTCCTAATTAACCAAAGATAATCTTAGCTGCTTGCTCTTTATCTGAAGCTAATCTTTTTTTAACCATGAATCCACAGACAGTGTTTATACTGTGCTCAAATAAGACATTCCCATTAGGGTCCATCTACTTCCACCAACCTTTAATTATCTCCATTTACTCTTGTAATGTTATATTTTTAGTCTTTTAAACTGGGTTTCTATTTGAATAATGATGAGATGAATGCTATCCAAATTCACTCTATTAACTTTAACCTCCAGCAGCAATGTCTTTGCTATGATATCTAACATTCACTTAATTTGCTAGCATATTTTACTAGCCCTCTTTATTGAATTTCTTTTAGCCTTTGAATTCTGCTTTTATAATTGGGCTTGTGCTTAAAAATCTTCTCTAATCTTAATTATGTGCTGCCACATCTGAATTTTAAGTATGAAGATGCTGGTTATTATTGGTATAAGCAGAGAAGGTTTGCTAGCTATTATTATCATCTCTAATTTAAATATAGTTTTCAAAAGGATCAGCTAGTTGTTAACCACCTTTTACTTTATAAACTTAAGTTCTATACTTATGCTAGCCATCATTTCTATCAAATATCTTTTAATGGATAGAAATTTGATCTATATATTTATCCATCGGTATTTCAATAATTTTTTTATGATCATTTGTTCTCATTGAGACAGAAATTTTGGACTTATTTGTTGAAAGCTACATATTGGAATCTTATTCATTTGAAGCATTTCTAGGAGACTTAAAATCTGGGTGTTTAACTCTTTATGCTGGTGGCTTTACAATCTAAGTCTCTTGCTATTACATTTTGAGTTGATTTACTTCGCTATTAATGATGCTTACTAGATTTTCACTTACTTTATCACTTTTAAAAATCTTGATGAAATCTTTAAGAGTAATTCTCAAGTCATCTTTTCCTTTTTATGATCCATCATTCTTAGGATCTAAAGATTGAAGGATTTTAACTGCAAATTTAGAATCTGAAGACAATCCTAATCCAACTAAGGGCTTTATTATTTCTTCTGCCTCTAAAACACCAGAACCATCGTCATCCCATGAAATAAATAGATTCTTTGCAAATTCTACATGCTTTCTGTTTGTAGTATTCTGACCACCTGCTTAAACCTTTCTTTTAGACATCCATTTTTCTGCTTGTTTATTTTTTATGAATATACCTGGAGGTTGTCCATGAAATTCAATTTAATCTCTCTCTAATTCTTTAAATCGTTCATCCTCGAGATTTGGCACTATTGCTTTAGGAGGGGGGATAACTGTCTTATCTGGGGATTTTCTAAGAATTGTACTATCGGTGCTTCTCATTAACTCATTAAGCTCCTCTCTTTCATTTCTAATTCCAAATCCCATTCTTGTCTTTTATAATTCTTTACCTATCCTGTCGAAATTTCCTGTATTAAATGAATTGATGTTCGATCTTCCTTGCTATATTCTTTCCTCTTGCCTCATGATTTTGATAGAATTTTATATGTGATTTCCTTTGATTCGCTTTTCATTTTCTCTTTCTATGAAGGGTGGTGGCTATCTCTATTCACTATTTCTGTCTTGTTTTGATTAGACTCTTTTCCCATATCCAGAGGAAGCTGTCTAACCAACTCCAGTAGAATTTAAATTCTATTTTATTCCCATTATTCTTGGCTTTATTAACTTAAGTTATTGCTTTAATGATTTTTAACCTACTCCAATACTATTTGAGTAAGGGGAAGTGACATTTTGAGTCTATTCATCACTTTATGAATTAATAGTTTCATGATTAGCTCTGCCAGTATTAAGTCCTTGTGATAAAGTATTATATTGTAAATATTATGGAGCATTTGCACTTTAACTAAACAATAACTTGGTCTAAGTGTCTTATGTCTCAACGTTGTTATCTTAGTAGAATGTTGAACTTGTCTAATTTGAAAATTATTCTTAAGTTTCATATGGAATTGAAAGATGAGAAATAAAAATCAATAGCATTTGATAACTTACATTATAAGCATTTCTCAAGTTTGATCTTTTATTTCCTGGTGGTACCATCATTACTACTTGTTTTCTTGGAGATTAGTATACATAGTTACTTTTTTCTCCACTCTCCCCTACTAAATGAGTATATCTGCTCATTATTTCATCTTTGATAAGAAGAGATTGATTTCTACTACCTTTCAGTGTGGATTCCCCATTTCCATATATACTTGCATTAGCTCTCTAGAATATCTTGAAGAAAATATTTTTACTTAGCCAATTAATGATTATCTGTTCGTTACAGGTTTGTAACTTTTATTGGTATTATTTAGTAAATCCTTATAGTTGTCTTGATGATTCCCATTTATCGTCACTGTAGCGAGCTTAGAAATTAAAAAGTTCGAATCTTCAACATCTATATAAAATGTGATATTGATTTCATATTTTGATAACTACCTAAGAAATTTAATAGTGAACCCCAGTTTTATTTGTATTTATTTTCTATGCTTGTGTTGTAATTTTCAAGTGCCTAATAAAGTGCATTCTCTGCCATTTTTGAATAAAATAAACTTCAATATGTTTTATGTAGTTATTTAAAACAATTAAGAGTAATATATTAATTAATTTTTATCAAAAGATATATCTTAGTATCTCGAATCTATGGAATCAACAGCAGCAGCCGTATCATACGACGTTAGTTTTGAAATGAAGAAGCATTTCACTCCTCCTGAAATCACTGGTAAGTCTTAGAGAAATTATCCAAGCGTGCTAAATCGCTTCAATTTATTCACTCCAACAATACAACAAATCCTCATTGATGATTAATATAGAATTGCAACATGCCTTCAAGCTTTATGATGCAGACAAAAATGGAACTATGAATGCCCAAGAGTTTAGATAGGTATTAATCGATCTCGGTAAGAGAGATGTAACTGATGATCAAGTCAATGAGATGCTTAAATAAGTTGACAGAAATAATGATAATGTTATCCAATGGGATGAGTTCCTAAATGTAAGATCAACCATTCACTTTTTAGCAAATCTAATCATTTATCTTCTTTATTATAGATGTTCAAGGGATTAAAGTCTACAAACAAAGATCTTTTCAAGCAAGTTCTCACTACCAAGGCTGGAGAAGTCGAGTAAACCACCTCTGAGCATGGAGGCACTCACTCATATCTAGTTGAGGAGAAAATTTGCTTCACTAAGCTCATTAATTATATTCTCGAGAAAGATTAGGACGTGGCTGGTATCATACCAATCAACCCAGAGAATGATGATGTCTTCAGTGCCCTTGAGGATGGAGTTGTCTTGTCTAAGTTGATCAACTGTGCTGCTGAGAATACTATTGATCTCAGAGCACTTAACATGAAGAAAAATCTCAATGTCTATCAAGTTAAGGAAAATCTTAACTTAGCTCTAAATGCCTCAAAAGGTATTGGTCTTAGAATTCCAGGTATTAACCCACAAGCCTTTATTGAGAAAAAGCCTCACTTGATCCTTGCTATCATATGGCAAGTAATGAGACTCTATCTTACCAAATCTATTGATCTTAAGAACTGCCCTGAGATTATGAGACTTGCTGAGGAGGGAGAGGAATTAACAGATTTGATTAAGCTTCCACCTGAAACCATTCTCATCAGATGGATCAACTTTCACTTGAAAAAATCAGGTGTTGAAAGAAGGATTACAGATCTAGGAGGAGATCTTAAGGATTCAATCGCCCTAACTTACGTCCTCAATAGACTAGACCCAGCCAAATGCTCATTAGAGGGACTTTAAGAGGAAGATTTGATCAAGAGAGCTGAACTCATGATTAACAACTCAATCTCAATAGGAGTACCACCTCTTGTTAGACCAAGCGATATCACTACTGGTAACGTTAAGATTAACATTGTCTTCGTTGCTGAGCTTTTCAATACCAAGCACGGACTTGAAGAACTTACACAAGAAGAAATTGCTAAGATCGGTATCATTAATGATGATATTGAGGGTTCAAGAGACGAGAGAGCTTTCCGTTTCTGGATAAACTCTCTAAACATTGAGGATCTTTATATCAATAATCTTTACTCTGAGTGTGGTGATGGTCTTGTCCTCTTGAAAGTTATCCACAAGCTTAATGATCAAGTTGTTGATTGGAAAAAGGTTGACAAAAACCCCAACAATAAGTTTAAGCAAGGTATCAACTGTGGTGTTGCCATCGACGCTTGCAAGAAACTTGGACTCAAGGTACCAGGTATTAGTGGAAATGATCTCCTTGAAGGTAACAAGAAGCAAATCATTGCAGTTGTCTGGTAGCTCGTAAGACTTCATTACTTACAAATTATCGGTTCTCAAACTGAAGATGACCTTGTTAAATGGGCTAACTAATTGAACACTGAAATCCAGATCAAGAGCTTCAAGGATAAGGCTCTCTCTGACGGCCACTTCTTACTTAGAATTTGCGAGGCAATTGAGCCAAGAGCATTCGACTGGGAAATCGTTATGAAAGGAGAGAATGATGAGGAGCAAGAGAACAATGCAAAGTATATTTTGTCAATCGCAAGAAAACTTGGAGCTGTTATCTTCTGTGTCTGGGAAGATATCCCTAAAGTCAACTTCAAAATGATCTTGGTCCTTGTTTGCAGCTTGTTTGAATTATTTGAGGAGAAAAGGAAGAGAGATGAAAACCAGTGAATGAGGCAGATATTGAAAGTTGATATTTATTCAAGCAATATATTAGTTATTGAAATCTAATTACTTCAAAAATTATCTTTATTATACATTTCTACTTAAAATCTTAGTTTCAATCAATGAAAAAAACTCATTTCTTTTGATAATCTTTTCTTACAAGAGTCGATATAGCATCTAAATTCGTCAAATAATTCAATTTATTACTTTTGAAGAAGATTAGATAAGTGGTAATGATTGTCAAAAACAAAATTGGTAAATCGCTGTACTTAGAAACAGTTAAAAAATCAGTGAATTCTCTCAAAATGTCCATTATTTATATATTTTACTTTATAAATCTCAAAAAATAATTTATTATGGAAATAAGGGGTTTTGGGGTTTTGGGGTTTTGGGG